GCCACCCCAGGGGTGAAGTCCATCTGGAGCAGGGATCACTGCTGCCCACTCCCAGCTGGGGCCCTGACTCTTGGTGCAGAAGGGTCCCCAGGCTGGCACAGGCAGTGCTGGCTGGCAGCTGGGAGTGCAAGGGCAGAGGAGACACCAGTGAGGGCTGCTGATGCTGTGAAGAGTCTGCAGCTAAACAAAACTATTGCTTGTCTGAAACTTCCCACAAAAATTGTCAAATTTGTTCTAGCTCTAGCTGAAGAGAATAAAAGGGCACATAAAATAATCCATTTGCAGGAGGAGAGAGAGCAGTTTAACCAGCAGTGGCTTATTGAGCATGGCCAGAAACAGTGTCCTAAACGCTGATGCTCACACACCGTACTCTCCATGTACTTTTCTCTCTCTGAGAACACTCATACCAAAGCCTCGAACAAGAAATCTGAACCTCCCTTGCACCCACCACAAAGCCTTTGAGAACCTTGTACCTTGATGCTAAAGGAACATCGTCAAGGTAAAAGTCATGCCTTAGGGGCCTATTTCCATAGTGTAGGGCATAGGTTTTTAAATTGTGATTAGCTATTATTTCCCAGGATAACACAGGAGCATTTGAATGCTCAGGCTCCCCAGCCGCTTTTGGTACCAGGCACAGAGACCTGTACAGTTCCCAACACCCTTTCACTGCCCCAAAGAGCCAAGCACCCAAATTTCTGCTGCCACATATTTTAAAACCTCCGCAATTCTCTTAACGAGCCTCAAAACACTGTCACTTTTTTGAAGCCCTTGCTCCTCGAGTTACATGACTTCTCATGAGACCATCAGCTTTCAAACAGCACGTGGCTCTCCAGTTTGTAACATCACAGGTATACCCTAAAACAAATTCCTAAAAGCTGACATCAAAAGACCAGCACCCCAAAAGATCAGCTGCCCACTGGCCCCAGCGCCGCGCACAAACCAGTGCCTGTAGGACTAAAGAGCCAGCCCACTAGGCACCCTCTAATTAATCCTTGAAAACACAGCATCCAGGGCAGGAATAAGAGCAAATCCTTTACAAGCAAAGGCTGGAGTGCAAAGTCGTGTTGGATAACGAACCTTTAATATTTCTCCCCCCAAAAGAAGCCAAGCTTCCACTTATTCTAGGGCAAACTCAAAAGGTTTTATTTTAATTTTTTTTTTAGCAAATTCTATCACGTAAATGTTAACAAAAAACATCTGTACAATTGCCATGATACACTCAAAAGTGAAACAAATAAGATATAAATACAGATATGGATGTAACATGACAAAAGCGGAAAAAATAGAAAAAAAAATACATGCGCATGAACACGGTGCCAACAAAGTAATTTCTCATCGCTGGCATTTTTCAGAGCAGTTTTTACTTCCCATTCAAAACATTGTTAGCAACATCCTGCTGTATACTACAAAGGTCTATTTTTCTGTCCCTTAACATGTAATATTATGCTTGATAAATAAAGGGGTGGGGAGAAAAGGTTTTGATGACAAAGATGCAAGTTACATTACTTATACAGGTTATTGGTAAGCTAGCAATAAGCAATAAAAAAGACAGTCTTGTATTGTATTGTAATCCAGGCAAGCACACATAGTGTACCTTAAGAAAGCCACATGCCTCGATATTTCTGCACTACATGAGAACTACAGTACGTAGACCTGTGGGGCGGATGGATCCAGTATTTGCCCATGCCCACGGAGCTCTGGTGCAGCTAATGGCAGAAAAAACATCCACATCTGAGATTTCGGCAACTTTGCAGCCAGGAGCCGCTGTCTGCTGAGAGTTTTCTCCCATTCAGACTTTTAAAGCATGGTGGGCAAAGAAAATACACTTTTTTTTTTTCTTTTTTCCAAGGTACGAAAAACTGAAGCCCTGCATAATGGGCAGCAAGAGAAAAAAAAAAAAAAAAAAAAAAAGGGAAAAGAGCTACTGCCAGGAGAAGGTGAACACAAGCTTCACCGGTGCGGTGAGGCACTGCCAGCATGCAGATCTTCCTCTGCAACGTGCGTGGACACTGTGGATTTGTAGCCAGAGAGACCTTTATGCTTGCTGAAAAGAAAACAAAATGATTGTACAGCTTGTTGAAGTCAGAACACTGGAGATCAGAGAGGTGACATTCAGAGCTAGCCCTTTGAGTACTTCAAAGGAAACATAAGAAAGGAAAAAATGAAAAAAAAAAAAAATCAGGTCATGTTCAACACCCTAAACAACCTTACTATGTACATTATACGCAATGATTTATAAATACCTAAGCAGATTGCTCTCTACTGTATACAGGTATAACATACGTCTAGAGTACTCAAAGGATGGACAGTCCTCGAATGACTCACGTAACAAAATGAAGTAGCACGTTAATGAGCATCTGTTGACAAACAGAACCGAATCTGATTCAGAAAGTAAGGCCTGGTTCTACCATTTGCAGCCCAGAGTGTGCCCACAGCATCGGAAAAAGCGGGCTGCTCGCCGGAGCGGCAGCCGGGTGTAGC